CTGTTCTCATTCCTTAAACCTTTCCCAGGTTTTGGATGGAAAATCTTGTATACTTTTATCCAATTAAGAATATTGTACAAAATATCCCTTTTATGCTACTTTATTATGCTAACTAGGGGCTGCAAACAAGTGTAATATAGACTTTCCCTGTAAGTAGTTTATAAGATAGAAGGGGCTTAACATCAGTATAACTAAAACCCCAAACAACTAAACATCGTTGTCCCATAGTAGCAATGCACACACAAGCGTCAATCTTTGGCTGAGAGGAAGAATAGATCCACCGATTCATTCGTGACTGTCAGTCTGAAACAATTTCTATATTTTCCTTTGGGAAATCTGATACGATCCAGGACAGTTCCTTGGATCATCGATTCAGAATGGCCATTGAATTGCATTGTATTTGGTATTAAAGAAAAATATCAAGGAATGCATAGCCTAATACAGCAGACAAAATGTAATCAACTAACAACAGAATCAGCTATATTCTTTATGATAAGCAGGATCCAGCGAGCGAGTGTGAATAACACTGCCTGCTGTGACTGGAGAGGGATGTGAGAAGGGAGCTGTAGAGATGCCCTAAGGTCTGTAGAAGAGGTGACATGTGACATGCCTTTGGTGGGCAAATAAGAACTTACATAATTTAACAAGAAAGCATTCTAGGCACAGGTGTTGTGGTTGTTTTTTTAAAGAAACTTTGTAAATTGGGGGAAATTTTGTCTAGATGAAACATGGAAGAGAACAGTAGGAGATGATGTTAGTAAAACGATATATGAAGGCAACAATGTCTACCCTGTTAGAGAGTTTAGATTTCATTATTAATCAGTGGTCTTAACCATAAATTGAGCTTAAGATTCATTTGTACACTCAAATTCAAGCTTTCAAATAGAGGTATATGCAAATTTGACACTGGGCCTTTTGAGTGTAGTCTGTCCAGACTGGGATTTGCACGCCTGTATGTTGTCAACACACCAGTGGTGACTTTGATACACTATCGAATCATTGCTCATGACTCTCATCTTAGAAATGAAAACGTTAAATAACATCATATTAATAAAGGTAGCATTACTGTTATACTGAGGGTTTTGTTTTAAGTTGAGAGTCACATCCAAGTTCATTCAGAAAGATAGCTCTGATGGCAATGTGAAGCAAAGTCTGCAGAGAATGGGACCTGAAGGCAAGAAGAGTAAAGGTTCCTGACATGAATGTGAGCTAATGATAGTTTGTATGAAGGCAAAGGCACTTGGACAAAGGGGAGGAAAAGACTTCACAGATAATTAGAAAGTCAAAATGGTTGGCCTTGATAGTCAATGAGATGTGATGGGTAAAACAGAGAGAGATCAAACATAATGCTCAGATTTCTATGTCAGATATCTGAGATATGGTGGATTCATTAACTGAGATGATAGATGCTGGCCAGATATTAAACACAATGTCCATCAGGCAAATTGACTCTCAAAGAGCAAGTATTCAATAAGTATTGTTGAATGGATTTAAAAAATACTCAGCTAACCAATGATGCTATTATTCTGGATGAAAAATATAGTAAGGATTATTTTATAAGCTTTTTAGCTTTTGACAGATAGATGTATGGGATGCATGTAGAAAGTTAAGGGAGATTTGCATAACCATAAAAGAAACAACAACACAACAAACAACCAAGCAATACAAAAAATATCACCAAGAACCATCATTTAAAAAGCATAGGCTGGCTTCCAGAAACAGTGGATGGTCTAGTTTTGTTCTACAACAACAAGAGGTGAACTTCAAAAAATATAGAGAATCGGAAAGTAATGTATCTGATATTCAGGCTGAAGAATTTAAATTCATTCAGGAGGCAATGATGAGTCATGGGGGACTTTGGAGTAGGGGGTGTTCCTTGATCTTTAGGAGCATGCTCTTTGGGAGATTTTCATAGCATCAGTGGAGAGGATAGAATGGGGCAGGAAGAAGTCTAAAGATATAAACATGAATTAAAAGATTACTGTGATGGTAGAGGTAGAAACTGAACAAGGATGGTCACAGAAGGACTGGAAAGGTAGGGGCAGATTCAATGGGTATTCAGAAAATAAAAACATGCGATATCTGGAGGTGATAGTTGGACCCAGGTTGGGCTCAGGATGATGTCCAGCAATGAGGTTTCAATGAACAGAAATAATGATGCGAGAGGAGCAAGCAGTTTCTGGTGATGATAACTGATTCTGAGGTGCCAGCAGGATGTCCAGGTGCAAAAATGTGTCAGGAACCTGAAAAGGCCACACTGAAGTTGAGAAGACCATTTTGGGGCCAATAAATTTAAATTTGGGAGCCATCTGTGTGTGAGCAATAAATGAAGCTGTGTGAGTGGATAGGACTGCCTAGGAAACGAAGAGCAAGCCCAAGAAAAAAGCCACAGTGCTTACTTTCTGTTGGCAGGATGGAGAGTGAGTGAGATCCAGAGCGGGTAAAGAGGAACTGTCAAGGAGAGAAAGAAAACAACATGGAAATAGCGCTTCAAACGAATGCAGACTGAGTCAGATATGGTGTCTGAGGAGGAGGCAGAAGACGAAGAAAGGACAGAGACTTGTCGCCATGGGAGGAAGGGTTCATGGGGTGGAAGCAGCGTGACTCAGGGTACGGAAGAAGGTATGGAGGAAGGAGGGCATGAGGAAGCCAAACTTTTCCAGATCTTTTTGATGCAAGAGTATTGACAACATGGGTCCTGCCATTGTTGCCAGCTGATGTTAATGAGCTTAGTATATTCTTCAATCTAAGCCCATTAGTCTGCTAATGGAAATTGCAGGGCTAGAAGAGCAATGAGCACCAACAGCCTTGGACGCCCTGAAGATCTGGAGCCACCTTCATGAGCTTTCCCTAACAGAGCACCAAGTCTTCATGCTTCCTGAGCGAAAACAGTGAAGATTCAAACCGTCATTTTACATGACAAGATACATGTCATCGCCATGTGTGGTGACTAAGCAGCACTCACAACACGATTCATTGAGCAAAGCCTTTTTTGTACTAATTTGAAATAAACTTTGGTCAAATATTAAATCCTTATATACCGTATACACTTGAGTATAAGCCGACCCAATTATCAGCCGAAGCACCTAATTTTACCCAAAAAAGCTGCATAAAAAAATGTGCTGAAAAACTCAGCGTATCCTCGAGTATAGAGGTATGGTTTTTTTTCTATTTCTGGGCACTCTCTCATTTTATTTTGTACTAAGCTTTCAGGGACTGGAGTCTTTGAATTTATGAATTGGACAAAGCTGACAATTTGGTAATAGTGCGACTACTGTACAGGAAATCCTTGTGTTTAGTTGTTGTCTCATCGTGATGTACAGCAGAACAAAGGTCTGCCCAGCCCTGCGCCATCCTCAGCGTCAGCCCTCGGCAGAGCCCGCTGCTGCAGCCACGTGGCAGCGATCTCACGGAGGGTCTTCTTGATCATTGACCCTCTGTGTTACTGAGTGGTGTCCTTCCCCAGGGACTGTCTCCTGATAGCATGCCCCACATACGGAGACAAAGGCTACGACCCTTGGTCTCCAAAGTGACATCTTTGCTTTTTAAACCTTACAGAGATGTTTTGCAGCAGATCTGCCCAAGGAAATAGCTTCCTATTTCCTAAGGGCTGCTTCCCTGGGGGGTGATTGTGGCTGGACGGCTACTGAAGCCTCCAGTACGTCCTGTTAAGAGAGTGTTTGTTTTCACGTAGGTCTTACTCCTTTTCAGTGTCTAGCTCCACATCTTCCTTTAAGTTGCTATTTCTTGAAGTGTGTATTTGTGGATGCATAATGCCAATGCAGGTGTCTTCTCAAACGGACACTTAAATGTAAAAGAATCTCAAGTGGACTGAAGTTTTGATAGCATCTGTCTCTCAATGGAATGAGTACGTGTATGAATACAGCATTTTGAATATCTATTGATATTTCTAAAAGATCATTTGGGAAAACAGACAGAAAAGTAAATGACTTTCATTTCATCTTTCATCTGTGTATTCTAATTTTCCCTGTCTGTGTCTGTATTTGGAGTTAAAATGTGGTGTCTGCTCAGTACTGACCATTATTTGTTATCCACACCAGTGGGATTTCA